TTAATTTTTTCCATATATAAATTTTTTATAATAAAAGTATTTATTATTTAAGGAATATCTAAAGTATCAAAAAAATTCTAAAGAATACATATAATAATTATATTAAAGCCATAGTGTGTTAGATTTAGAGAATATAATTCAAGTTTATTTATGTGTATCCTTAGAGGAACAAGAGTAAGTTATGTCAACAAATGTAAAAAAATATTCGGGAAAAAACAATACATAAATTTCAATACAAAATTTTTTTATAATATAATTATATTGCACAGCTAGAGATCATCTTTTTCTCTAGCAATATTATGAGCGACAAGCATATTGCAATTATGTTACCTTTTTATCCTCGTCCTGTCTATCAAAGGCACACTTCTGCTTGCATTGTTCGCATGTAACTGGTGGTCCATAGCGTTTCTCCGAGTTCGTACACCGTTGGCATTTGCTACCAATAAATGCAGCTATGGTATTGCAGTACTCGCAAGCTGACGGCTTCCCATAAGATTTTACATTTTGCTCGCACTTTTTACATATAGTGCTCGTATTGCCCTTTCTGCAAAGTCAAACAGATTATAATAATGCACTGTTCCATTTGTTCCATTTAACAAGCAATTTTTATAAAAATAATGTGACTTAAACTTACATAGTTTGTTGGAATTCTGATCTGCAGTATGTACATTTTACCACGGGAAATGCTCCTCTGCATTCCTAAATAACATTAAATTTTCTTAAGTATTAACAGAAATAAAATTAAAAATATTGCGATTTTAATTTTTCATATTTTTTTTTTTAATGACAATAATATTAAATAAACAATATTTTTTGCAGTTTTTACTACACTTATCAAAATTACATGTATATATATAATATTCCTTAATAAAATGAAGAATTTTGATAATATCATTACAAAAAAATTAATATATAGCACAAATTTTTGTGTTCTCAAAAATTACTCCCAAATTCTCGGATTTAATCAACATTTACGTCATCGCGAGCAATGAGGGATTGGGCTTTATCGCAATAAAATTCTTTAAAAATCCTACGTGACGAGCATAGAAAATGCTCTTTATTAAATCGTATTTGAACAATTTTCTTATCTTCACTACACTATATGCGTTGTGTATTTACGTAGGAATGCAACATGTTTATGTTGCATCAACTTGAATCTTGCAATATTACAGAAAAAAAACGTTTTGTTATTAGTACACAATAAATCGTTGTATTTATAATCGTTACATCTCACAGCGTAATTTCGCGATCGGTGTTACAACAGAAAATTCTTTCCAGTAGCCTATTATCGCGATGAAACAAATTCGTCGCGTGAAAAAAACGTATGTTGTAAAAAAAAACGACGCAAGAAACGCGAGGAATTGGCGAGACGCCCGCGGACAAAGATGGGCTGCGGTTTGTTTATACCTTGCACAATTGTTGTCCGGGCGAGAGATCTTCGAAGGGATGCCTGGAGAAGCACCGGGAGCACGCGAAGAGCGCTTGCACATTGTTCGCGCTCATCTTCGGCAACGAGTCGCTGAATACGTCACTGGGCAACGAGACGACGAAGAGGCGGCAGCCGAAGGAGAGGCGCGATAGATCGAAGGAGAGAGAACGATCGTGGCTACTGTTTCGCGACGAAAAAAAAAAAAGAGAGAGAACGAAGAGAATCGATGACGACGCGACGATTATCCCAATCGTGATGAAATCCGCGTTTCTATTACACCGCGAAAACCGGTTGTTGACTTTTACGTAGCCATCTGCGATCGGCGACCGCCGCGACCGAGTAATATGGCCGACAGCGTGACAGCGGAAGTGGCCGTTCGAGGGCGCCACGCGCCGCCAGCCCGGCGTTCCGAAAATCATCCAATAATAGCGCGAATTCGATCACACCCACGCCACATATACGTATGTCAGCGAATGTTTAAAAAAAAATCGTTTTTTTTCTATATATTGAATGACGCTTAATTGTCTTATAATATAAAATATCTTACAAAAAATATAGTTATAAATATTATATACTGCACCTATCAGATCAGATCACCAGCAACCAACAACAACGACCCAAGAACCCAACAACAGAATATAGCATGTATACTATATCGTATACATATTTAACACATGTACTTTTTATACATGAAATGAATGAAATCGTAGTAAATCGATATAAGGAACCCTCTATATATGTTCCAACGGGATATAACGAGACCCATTCTAAGACTGACTCATCACTATCTAACAATGCGAAGAAATCAACTTTTAGTTGAATCATCCATTTAATGATGATATTTGTTTATATCTATATATATGCACGTGGTCCCTTTTTATAGTTTTTCATAGGCATATATACATATAGGACCTACAGTTTTACGCCGATTCCGAACGGCTGCAGAAAAGGTTGTTTGGCAACAAATACTCTCGGTGGTTTGCCATTGCCTGCCGAGAGGTGGCGATCGAATAGAATTTTAATATATATTATAATATTATATATATTATAAATTATATAATTTTTAA